GGTACTTGGGGACACCAGGAACGGAGGAAAAAGAACAGAGATGTTTGCTAAATGTGGCCGATAGGTGGTGCTGTGGCACACAGCAGATTGGGATTACACTTGGTCTATTACAAAGGCTAGGCCTAAGGTTTAAGAGAATAAGTGCCCTTAAAAACACATCTGACTTCTATGAGCCTTGACAATACAACTATTTCTTTCACATTGGATGATATGTACATTTTTTTCCTTTTGCTTAGTGTCAGCTGTTCCCGCTTTCCCTCTCATTCCCTCCCTCCCATTGCTGCCCTTGAGTTGCTTAGTTTGTTTTCATCAAAATCCAGTGCAGCTGATGGGTCCCTCTGTTGTATATTTTCCCATTTCCCTCTGATTTTGTGTCCTCCTCCTAGCTTCCCTCAGATGTGTATGCACACACATACATGCATACATGCACACACACACACACATATACCATATATGTGGTCAAGAACATTATAGACCATGATAATGACAAGTTGCCTTGTGAAGGTTAAAATGTGTTTGTGACTTTAAATACCGCTCTCTCACAAAACTGTGAAATTTATGTAATCACTTAATCTCAATAAAAATTAATTTTTAAAAAAGCATCTGACTTGCATATGGAGCAACTACTTTAGCAAGTGAAGCTATGTAATTTCCTCACAGTGATTACTAATTTTCTATTTGGCTAAACAATGTTTTAAGGAAATATGGGGTCCACAGCATCCTCAGACTGTTTCCAGAATACTCTGCCCCCTGCCTAACTATTCCAAAACCCAAAGTGCTCAAGTGCCTTAAATAAAATGCTGGAGGCCAGAGGTTTTCAGTAGTAGAACACATAGCATATACCCCCCAAAATAAAATAAAATGCACAAGAGTTGCATATAACCCATGCAATCCCAGTATACTAGAAATCAGTGAAAAGAATTTTGAGCCAGGCACTGGTGGCTCATGCCTGTAATCCTAGCTACTCAGGAGGCAGGAAAGTCAGTGAGACTCTTGTCTCCAATTAACCACCAGAAAACCAGAAGTGGTAGAGCACTGGCCTTGAGCTGAAGAGTTGAGGGACAGTGCCTAGGCCCAGAGTTCAAGCCCATGACTGCCCCCCCCCCGCAAAAAAAAATGGAATACCCAATAAAAGATAAATGTTCTCTGCATGGTTACTACACTGTGATGTTAAGGGAATGCAGACAAAGAAGTTCAGTATAGACATAACTTCTTTCAATTCTCTCCAATCCTCAGCTGAATCCTCAGATGTGGGCCTTGTGAATATAGAAACTGCACACAGTTTCTTAGCACTTGCCAAGGTTGTTGTTGAGGAAAACAAAATGGTATTGAAGGCCTAGTGAGTTAACAAGCACCCTGCATAATCAGGAGCACAGAGGAACTCTTGACTAAAGGGTCAGAATATCCCACTGAGTAAAAGCACCTTTCCTTTTTTGTTTAAGAGCAACACCCCAGCCTGGGCTTCAGAAGACCCAGGTTCAATGGTCTGGATTTGCCTCTTCTGAGCTCTGTCCTATCTGTGGGTTTACTTGGCTACTCAGTTGTCTGGCTTTCACTTTTCCTCTAGTCTCTACCAAGAGCTATTAGGCCTGATGTCCTAGCAACTTGTGAACATCACCAGGATACAAACCCACAGAGCTTGTCTGTGTCTGTTCCATCCATTTAGTGACCAGGCCCTGTTTCTCCTAGATCAGTCTCCACATGTATAATGCATGAGTTAAATACCTGCTCTTGGGCTGAAGATGGAGGTAAGTATAACATGTAAGAGGTCTTGGATTCAAACTCTAAAAAAGACCATTGCTAAAACTGCAATGTGTTTATAAAAGTTACAACACAAAGGCTGCACTTAGTAGGCACTAAAAAATGTATCTCCTCCCTCTCTCCCTATCTCTGCAACTAGACACAAGTGCAAATTATGTGCCGATGATAATCAAATCTCCTAGAATTTTTCCATTTTTAAAAGGTCTCCATGGGGCTGGGAAGGTGGCTCAGTGGTAGAGCGCTTGTCTTGCATGCATGAGGCCCTGGGTTCGATTCCTCAGCACCACATAAGCAGGGAAAAAAAAGCCGGAAGTGGTGCTATGGCTCAAGTGGTAGAGTGCTAGCCTTGAACTGAAGAGCTGAGGGACAGCGCCCAGGCCCAGAGTTCAGGCCCCACGACCGGACCCCCCCAAAAAAATAAAATAAAAAGGTCTCCATGGACTGGGAAGGTGGCTCAGTGGTGGAGTGCTAGCCTTGCAGGCCTGAGGCCCTGAGTTCGATTCCTCAGCACCACATAAGCAGAAAAAGCTAGAAGTGGCACTGTGGCTCAAGTGGTAGAGTGCTAGCCTTGAGCTGAAGAGCTGAGGGACAGCGTCCAGGCCCAGAGTTCAGGTCCCACAACTGACAAAAAAAAAAGGTCTCCAAGCCAAGTGGCACTGGTCTACCCCTGCAATCCTAGGTACTCAAGAGGTTGAGATCTAAGAGTCTCAAAGCCATATCCCAGGCAGGAATATCCATGAGCACCTTATTAATTAACTGCCAAAAAGCCAGAAATGGAGCTGTGGCACAAGTGGTAGAGTATTAGCCTTGAGCATGAATGCTCTGGGACAGCACTCAGGCCCTGAGCTCAAGTCCCAGGACTGATGCATACATTAATGCACACATACAAGTATGTATGTGCGCATGCACATGTGCACACATACACGTGCACAAGCGCGCGCGCACACACACACACACACACACACACACACACACACACACACGAAGGCTAGTGTGGTAGTACAAGCCTATAATCCCAGCACTCAGGTGGCAGAGGCAGGAAGATCACCAAATTCAAGGCCAGCCTGTGCTACCTAGTGAAACCTCGACTCAAAATAAAATAGGCCTTCAAAATGACTGGCTACATATGGATTCGCCAGTCCCGAAACCAGCCTTCTAACTAAGGCAGATGTTGTTGGGGATCCTAGGGAGGGTTGGGACCATAATGGGGTAAGGCATGAACCTTCCCAGAGGTCCTCAATCTGGAGCCAGCACAGCATGTCTTACCCCAAAATGCTTTTCATTGCACATGTTGATTGCTGCTTAGAAATACAGTGTAGTCATGGTCATTTATTCCGTTTTTTTTTTTAAAGCATAATACACTTCAGGGCTTAGAACTCTTGTGATGGCTGATTAAAAAGTGACAGACTCATCATCACAAGAGATGGAAAAACTGAGTTGGGCAGCAGTGGCTCATGCTTGTAATCCTAGCTATACAGGAGGCTGAGATCTGAGGACTGTAGTTCAAAGCCAGCCCTGGAAGAAAAATCCATGAAACTCTTATCTCCAATTAACCACCAAAAGTCCAGACATGGAGGTGTGGCTCAAGTGGTAGAATGCCAAATCTTGAGCAGAAAAGCTAAGGGAGCGTGCCTCAAGGTTCCAAGTTCAAGCCCCAGTACTGGCACACGTGCACATACAAGAGTTGAAAAACGACTGCCCTTAATGACTTTTTCTGGTGCTTGGTTCCAGGGCTTAACGTTAGCACCTGGGCACTGTCCTGAGATTTTCTTTTTTTAAAAAATCTTAAGACTAGAGCTCTACCACTTGAGCCACAGCTCCACTTCCAGCCTTTTGGTGGTTAGCTGGAAATAAGAGCTTTAAGGACTCACCTGCTTGGGCTGGCTTCAGACGGTGATCCTCTGATCTCAGCCTCCTGAGTAGCTAGGATTACAGGCTTGAGCCACCCAGGTGCCCAGCTCTTAATGATTTAATGACTGGCAAAAAGACTTACTCCTGGCTAAAATGATGGGAACTGAGCTCCAGTTACTCGCAGCCTTGTACGCCCGCAGCGTTTTTCAATTCTCTTAAACAGATCAGCTGTTCGCATCTTTTGACGTCCTCTCCCCCTCCCTTCCCGAGTCTCCGTGGAGACACTGTAGAAGAGCACATCGCTAGGACCTTATCTCTGCAGAGTTCAGCGTGATCTGCCTTTCCAAGAAGCCGTCCGGAGCCAAAAGTTCTCTTCCAGGCGCGTGGGGCTCTCGGGGGCCACCCCTGGCCAGCCGGGGCGCTGGCACCGCGCAGCCCGGAGCCGCTGGAAACTCGGTCACTGCGATCCGATGGCATTTTGCATCCAGCCCGAGATCGGGCGGGGGACCCAGACGTGTTCCCCTAACCCCACACCTAGACGTCGGGTCTGGTGTAACTACCACGCCCGCCCGGCCCTCAACGACTCCCTTCGTTGCGTGGCGCGGTGATTATTTCTCTCTCCTATCCATCAGGATTTTTGGCTGACAAATCTCAGTGTTTCCACGAAACAGAAGGCTGCCCAGGAAGAGTCCATCCCCGGCACCACAGCCCCGCCTGGCCGAGGACAGACAACCGCCCCAGGGGGCCGTTCCCGGGTCGGTGCGTGTCTCTCCCCTCCACCCCCCCGCATCCCGCGCAGCGGAGCGCACGTGCGCGCAGCCCGCCCGCAGGCTGGCACCGGGGGAGGACGCGGAACGGAGAGCAGTTGTTTTCCAGCGAGTGGATGTGATGGAGCAAGATGCCAAACGCACTTTCCGAGCCAGCTGAACTCCGCGGGCATCTAAATCACTGCCAGATGTGGGACGGGCGCACGGGGAACATCCCGAGTCCCGGCCGGTGGGCAGCCGGGGTGACGGCACGGGTGGGGATGACGGGGGAGCGAGTGGGGCGCGCGGGGCGCGCGGAGGGCAGCCCCGCAGGCATGTGGAGGCTGGGGATGAGGATGAGGAGGATGCCTCACTCCCCGCAGGTTTTTTCAATTAAAAACAAAAAAGTTGGGAACTGGAATTCGTAAACAACGACTTGAGGCTTCAAACTACTTTGGCACCAGACGCGTCCGGGACAAGGGCCACCGGGCGCTGGCACCCCTTAACTGCTCTCCGGGTCTCCTGAGGTTTCCCCCGCACCCCGGAACCGCGCACCCATCGGACTCCCCCTGGGGCTGCAGCCCAAAGGACCGGTTGGCGCGGGGTGCACCTCGCCGGCCTCCCGCACGGCCCCTTCCCTACCTTTCATGGTGATCGAGGAGACGCACCGCCAGCCAGGGAGCTCCGCGCCGCCGAGGAAGTCGCCCCGAGCGACCGCTCACTGCACGCCCATGGCAGCCGCGCCCCGCGCCCGCTGTCCGCTCTCCCCCGGCTCGCTCGGCTCCGTGCTACCCGGGGCTGCGGCGCGCGCTGCTGCTCACCCCGGGCCGGAGGCTGCAATCCCGCCAGAGCCCCTCCCCCTGGCCCGCCGGGGCCCGCGGCCCGCCGCGCCCACGCCCCTCGCGCCCTCCCCGCTCCGCCCCGCCCCGCCCGCCCGCGCTCGCCCCTGCCCGTCGCTTCCTAGCCCGGCCTCTCCTACGCGCCCGCGCCCGGCTCCCCAAAAGCAATGGGAAGTGGGGGGGGGGGCGGACAGGGGGAATCCCGGCTTCCTCCTCCGTTATGCAGAAGGTGCAATTGCTGCAACCCAGACTACCGAGGCTACTGGTACAGGGCGAGAAAAAAGTTGGGGAGCCGCGGAAGGCTGTCCCTTCTCCAAACGGCTCCAGGGCTTGTGAGGTTCTAGGGTTCCAAGTTTCCAAGTGCGTGCGCTGGTTGGCTGCCCTAAGCAAACCCGACAGCAAGGGAGCGGCCCGGTCTACCCAAATTGTCCAACTCGCTAGGACACCCCCCCCCCACTCCCAAATCACCATTAGATACCCTCTCTACGGAACTCTTTACACTGTTGGACTTTGCAGAAAACAAATAAAGGACCCCAAAAAGTTAGCCTTTCTGCCCCTGCCCCAGAAACGATCGGGTTGCCAGTGTTTGACCAGGACAGGAGGCTCGGCTGTCCGAAGGCTTCCTAAGTCCCTTTCCTTGTCCTGTGGCCTTACCACCGTCCTGGGAAGAAAGCCCATGCTTATCTTTCCTTTCGAAAGCTTCCCCCCCCCCTCCCCCTTTAACAGATTCCTTGCTTAATTGCTTTAAAGCGTGAGCTGGGTGAGGAGAGGAGCTGTGGGGAGCAGCGGGAGGCAGTGGAACTTTCTGCAACTTGTTAAAATGACACAAAACCACGCTATGATAATGCACGCACTCACCAAAAGCAACAGGACCCTGGTTGGGCAGGATTGCAGCTCTTCAGCTTGCTTTCCTGAGGACTGAGTAATAAAGTGCAAGCAACCCGTTAGTGCAGTCTGAACAGGGGCTTCCTTGATGAACCAAGACTATTTGTAACTATGAAAATGGAACAAGGAAACCTGTTGGGGACGTCAATTCTTAGAGGGAAGGGTGTGGGGAGTGTGATGGAGGGTGTAAAACTGTCTGGAATAGGGAGTTAACACGTATAGAGAAATAACAATGAACCCCCCCCAATACTGTTATAAGCCAATTAAAAATACGTAAACAGGGGCTTCTTTATCCTAGTAAAAAGTGGTACCAAGAAATGAATACTTTCATGAGGTTGCCGCTCTAGAACCTTTTGCTTCTGAACATCAAGGAGAAACATGGGCATTTCTAGTAAAAAGAAAAAGACTAGCATGCCTCCCCACTTCACGTGCTGGTGGAACTTCAAGGTACCCTGAAGTTTCCCTACTGTGGAAGTGTGCCTCCAATCTCACCAAATGCATCCCTCTCCTCTTTCTAGACATGTGCAAGGCCCTGAGGAGCCTAGGATAAGGATTGTCAGTGCGAAGATTACCTGTCAGTGTTGGGATGGACTAAGCCCATCCATGTCTTTGCTCCATGTACTTTCTCCAGATGCAAAAGGGAGAGAATCTGGGACCCAATTTGAATTGACAACCAGCATTTAAAAATTTTAAATGATGACACAGGCAACATAAGAGAAAAGTAGATAAATTGTACTTCAAAGTTAACTTTGGTACATCAAAGGACACCATCAGAAAGTGAAAGAAAATATTTGCAAACCACGTATCTGATAAGGGATTAATATACAGAAGACATAAAGAACTCCTACCAGTCAGAAGTAGAACACAGTGCCATTAAAAGTGAACAAGGAATAAACTTGAATAAACTATGTCTCCAAAGAACACAAACAAACGGTGAAAGGAGGCACTCTTACTAATTGTCAGGATCGTGTAAATCCTCAAAGAGGCAGATTGGCATATCCAATAGGAAGGTCATTTGGTTTTATTTTTGTTGTTGTTTTCTTTTTAAGCAGGAGTGTGATACATGTTTATAATCATAACCCTCTGTACACTGAGACAGAGGAAATCAGAGTCCAGACCAGCCTGGACTACATGCCAAAACCTCTGTCTTGTCAGACAATGATAGCTCAGCCTGTAATCCTAGCTACTCAGGAGATTGAGATCATGGTTCCAAGCCAGCCTAGGCATACAAATGCAAGAGACTCTACTCCAATCAGTTAGCAAAAAGTCAGAACTGGAGGCATGACTCCAATGGTAGAATGACAGTCTTGAACCAAAAGGGCTAAACAAGAGCGTGAGGCTGTGAGTTCTAGCTCCAGTACCAAGCCAAATAAATTAACATAGTAACTTTTATATTATATATGAATACCACAATTTAAAATTCTAGTAGAGGCTGGGTGCCAGTAGCTTGTGCCTGTACAGTAATCCTAGCTACTCAGGAGGCTGAGGTCTGAGGATCATGGTTTGAAGTCAGCCCAGGCAGGAAAGTCTGTGAGCTGCTTTTCTCCATTTAACCACCAAAACAGCTGAAAGTGGAGCTGTGGCTCAAGTGGTAGAATGCTAGCCTTGAGCACAAAAAAAGCTCATGGACAGTGTCTAGCCCTGAGTTCAAGCCGCAGGACCAGCACACACACAGAGACACAAAAGGTCAAAACCAAACAACAAAACCATAAACCTCGACTATTGCCTGTGATGAACCCTGCCCACAGAGCTCTGCAACTCTCCAAAGACAATTTTCCCCCAGGAATCCTGTGACCATCTCTTCTCCATCTCACCCTCTTCAGTGTTGAGTGGAGCCCCTCGGGGGGGCCCCACTTCTGAGCCCACTCTGAAGAACACAGCTCTGTGTTAACAGAACATCAGTTATCCAAGCTTTCTCCCATTTAGGGCTCTTGGAAGAACAAGATTTTGGGTTGGGGCTCAGGGAGAGGAGAAAAAGGCGATGAAGACGAGGATGGGGAGATTGGAAAGGGCTGGGGCGTACAACTCAAGATGTTTGGAAGTCCTCAGAGCAGCTGCCTCTGGTTGCGGGGGGGGGGGGGGGGGGGGGGGGGAGGGGGGGGGGGGGTGTACAGGGGCTTCCCCACCTCCAGAAGCATCGCGAGGCCCTGCAACTGTACCATGTTTATAAACCCTGCACCCAACCCCATGCTAGTGCCCAAGATCCAGCCTGTGACAGGAACAACCCAAGCACAACCCAACAGGTACACTGAGCTTGAGTCCAGGCAGATCAAGACAGGGCCAGAGTTGTAAAGTCCATTTTTCGACATAAGGTCTTGTTCATCTCATTGTTGCAATGGGTCCACCTGTATCCCTATTTAAACAATTTGTTTTTTCCCATCCCCTCCACAAATTATACCAACATCAAATACAGTGAAAACAGGGGTTACACCATGGGGGAGGGACATACAAAGCAACAAAGAAATATGTTAGAAACAATAGCAAGAAAGAAAAACCATGTGAGGGGCTGGGAAGGTGACTCAGTGGTAGAGCACTTGCCTTGCATGCATGAGGCCCTGGGTTCGATTCCTCAGCACCACATAAGCAAAAAGAAAAAAAGAAAAAGAAAAACCATGTGAGTCCTTATCTTGGGGTTCATTTCACCTAACATCAACTTACCTGACCTTTTCTGCTTGACTCAGACATATACTAGTTATTGCAAATAAGGGAAACCATGGGACCTATGTTTTTTTGGGCCTGGCTTACTTCACTTAATATAATTTTTTCCAAGCCTTTCCATTTCCTAACAAATGGGGCAATGTCATTCTTTCTGATGGAGGCACAGAATTCCATTGTGTATATATACCACATTTTCTTGATCCATTCATCTACTGAGGGGCATCTGGGTTGGTTCCATATCTTAGCTATGGTAAATAATGCTGCAATAAACACAGTTGTGCTGGTAGCTTAAGTATGGTCTTGTTTGTGATCATTTGGAGGCGGGGGAGATGGGAAGGGATGGGAAGGGAAAACAAAGGAGGAGGCAACAATGTTTGGTAAGAAATGTACTCATTACCTTGCTCATGTTATTGTAACCCCTCTCTGTATGGTATTTTCACAATTAAAAAAAAAAAAACAGGGCCACGTGCTGGAGGAGAGTGCTGCTGGCTGGCAGCATGACCATCCCTTAACCTCTGACAATCCATGCATTCTCCTCTTCCTACTGGAAGCCAGAACATTCCAGTGACTGTTATGGCCACTACCTTCCATCTGCCCCCTCATTTCTCTTCTCTCCTTAGGCCGCATCTCCTACTGCATTTCAGCCAGGCCGCTTCGTGTCTCTCCACACATTGCTATATATGAAGCTTGGTGCCTTCGCATTCTATCTCCCCAAACACATTGCCTGCTCCATCGCGTCAGGACATTTATCCACGTGGGCTTGAAAAATTTAGACATAGGCCCCTCTGAGGACTGCACCCAAGACACATGTACCGTAGAGAAAGTTGGGGCAGATACAGTCAGATACACAGACATCTGGTAGATTAAGACCTTCTAGAAAGGAGTCACAGCATAAGATAAACAGCAGGAAGTGGTCAGTGTCCTGAGAAAGGAGAAGATAATTTGCTGGAATAGAAAAGAAAGCGGATGATAGAACTGGGGGGTGGGGGGTGGGGGTCAAGTAGTAAAGCCTTGCCTAGCTAGTGGAAGGCCCTGAACTCAATCCAATAATGAAAGGAGAAGGGGGGAGGGAGTAAAGAGGAGAAGGAGGAGGAGGAGGAGGAGAAAACAGTAACAGGAGGAGGAAGGAAGAAAAAGGGAGGAAGAGAGAAAGGTAAAGAAAATTGTAACGAAGAGGGGAAGAGAAGGAAAGAAAGCAGATGGTGACTTGTGACTAAGACAACATGGAAATCTCAGGGCTGGGCCCTGGAGGGTGGTTAGGATATTGGAAATGCTCACTCTCCCTCCAGACCAGACCAGTGGGTTGAGTGAGGATGGAACCTGGGAACCCCCTGTTCACCCAGGGGTATTTTCATGAAGTGCGGATGCCTGTGCCTCCCTAGGGTCTCTGAAGCCCTG